ACCAGCCATATAACTTCGTACTTTTGTGGTAACCAACCTGATACGCGATACGCATTCCGCGGTTTGCGAACGACGCGTGCGATGCTCTCTCTCTTTCTCGCACGCATTACCATGACTATTTATACGTACGAGCGACTAATTCGTTTCCGAGGAGAGCCCGCGAGCAGTGGTACAAGATTTAAGGTGTTTTCGATCAGTGACAGCGAGCCGAGGCTTGACAGCGAGAGGGCAGCGTCCTATCGTACGCTCGCATCTACCGACACGTACTAATTAGCCGTATAATCCGCAGTGAATAACGATCTTGACTCGTCGTACAAGAAGAGGTAGAGCAAACAAACGCGAGTTACGCGATACAGATCTCGCGACGAGGCATCCTTATTCAAGCCGATCGATATCCGTCAATCATTTACTTTGTTGGATTCTTCAAGGCTGTATAAAATTACGCGTATAATGACTCTTTCGGTCGCACCTTCGTATAATAGATTCACAGGGCGCGGGTGGATGCGATTCCGTTGTAACCGAAAGGGTCGGGAGGGATCTCGCTTTTACGGGGCACTATAAAGATTTTATATTTAGAAGGTACGTGACGCGACAAAGGCCCTTGCTTTCAGCGTGTCCTAGATAAATCTTTAGGTATGCGCCGTGTTGCGGGCGCGCGCGCCACCACTTAGCATTAAACTATAAAAATAAATCAATGAATCATTCCGGAGAGAAAGAGGGAAAATTACGACGTTCGCACGGGAGATAAACGAGCCCCCGGTGCGACGAATTATCTCGCGATGCGCGCCGCGTAGTCCATTAACGACACCGTCGATTAAATGTCACGCGCGAAAGTGGACGAAAGTATGCGAACCGCGCAAAACTATATCAGCGATCCGGTATATCAAAAGGAGTTGAATAAAAAGCGAACGGGGTACACACACGAAATGCGACGCTAGTCGCTTCTACACACGGCAAATATAAATTAGTGCGGCTGACGATTGCCACGAGCGAGTTTCATTAATTCGACTGGATAATAATAGGTATCCGTGAAGTCTGTGCCGTGAGGTCGTTACGATTAGGCGAGTCATCGTGGCTTTCTATAAATAACGGGCGGAGACAGACACCGCCAGGGGGTGGAAAAGGGAGACGCGTAAACGGAGAGATAGAGAAAGAGAGAAAGAGAGAAAGAGACAGAGGGAGAGAGGGAAGGTTGGTAATCTCGGTTGTTCTACCATCGCCGTTCATGGTGTGTTGGATGTCCCGAGGGAAACGAAAAGGTGGTCGACGTTCGGGCAACACATGTCCCGAATGTGTGTTCCGGACACAGTGGCACGAGGGGACGAAAGAAAAATAGGATCGGCCTAGTGAAATGACGGCCATGAAGCGTCGAAATTACCTGCGAAGTGGCGATTCACGCGATTGTTTCGATACGGAATGAAAAAGGGTGTCTTTCCGTGAAATGCATTCTTTCAATATTTTCAAACCATACTTTGAGATGACTTTGTGCGGAAGGCTAATTATTGTTCCCCCCATACATATCTGACAGGATCTTCCGCTTATTTAAAAAAGGTCAAGACTAAATTAATTACGATTTTAACAATACACGAGCGCACGAGAAATGAAGAGAACTCTCGTCTTGGCTCTCGCGTCTCGGAATGGCGCGAAAACTGCATCGGGCGTACACATGTGCGTATGAGCAGCGCACGCACGATGCGACGAAACGGCGACGGGTAGGAGAAAAGGGAGAAAGAGAAGCAGAGGGAGCAGAACGCGCGGCGTTAGAAAGGGAACGAGAAGGAAGATGCCGTCACCGAGTAGTGGGGTACGCCGGGAGTTTTGCCGGCGATCTATCGAAGCACTCGGCGGCACTCCGTCGAGAGTGGGGGTGACGAGATGAGAGAGGGAGAGAGACCGACAGACCCCACGAGGGGTTGCGGAGGGAACGAGCGTGGACGAGCGGTTATTTCAAGCGAACGGCTCTTCTGGCACTTCGCCCCGAGCTTTCCTCGTGCACATCCTCTCCTATCGGAGTGGTGCCTGTCCCATCAGTGTCGCCGCCGCGACGCCGCAGCGCCTCTCACAGACGAGATAGAGAGAAGCCCGCAGAGCGCAACGAGCACCGCGAGCGGCCGGACGCGCGTTTCCAATCCGATCTGCAGGACGAGCACGCGAGTACTGTCCAAGACCCGCCACCGATCGATCCATCGATCGATCCCGTGTATCGATCTGCAATCTTGAGCGCGATACTTGTAGTGAAAAAAAAAAAAAAAAAAGAAGAAACCGGATAATCTTCCGAGGGTGATCGGTGTTAGTGAATGGATGGACCTTTCGTGTTCCGTGATAGGATTTTGAGAAACGTCAAGAAAGGGAGGGGACGCACACGCGGACAGTGGAGGACGAGAATTTTGAAGAAATCGCCACGGGAACGAGCAGCGGGAGAGACGAGGGATGGAACGCGTGTGGAAAAGAGGAGCGAAGGAGGATCTATGATGACGCGCCGCCGTCGGCCTGAAATAACAGCGGGAATGCGTGTACAGTGAATCACGGAGCTCCCCGTTCGTTCCGACGCGAATCTCGTCTCGGCAGTGACTCTAGCGTAGCTTTTCTTCACCACCCCCTCGTTTTTTCCTTCGTTCTCGATCCTTGCTCGATCCACGGTCGTGCGTTACCCGCGATCGGCGCCGGTGTTGGACAGAGTGAGTGATATAGAGAGAGAGAGAGAGAGACAGCCTGGGTTCCTGAGAGCGGGTTGAGAAAAGCCAGAAGCGCCAGAAGCATCGCAAAGGCAGGAACTGACGAAGGGGACGAGGGGAGTTTTTCGAGACGCCGTCCAAGGAGTTTTCTCGGAAAGGAGATCGCGAGCGTCGCAATACGGTGAGTACGCAGTACACTGCTCCCGTACTTGTACGTAGATAAAGATACGAACGCGGGACGAACGTGGGCGAAACTTGAATTGGACGAGTAATCTCGCGACGAGCGGGAATCCCTACGCGCGAGTCACGATCTATCGAAATTTCTATTCAAAGTTCCTTATTCGTTCTAGCAAACGCGTTTTCTTGGAACGAATATGAGTCATTTTGTATACCTTCTGACAAATGGAATAACACTACAATACCGAGAAACATTTTCATGTTTATATCTACACTATAAACTAAATAAATTCATATAGTCAAACCATTATAAATGCGATTGATTTAATGCACGATGCGAACGCATTACGGGACGTATGCCGAAACGCTGGTAGCTATATCGCGAGAATGCATGAAAATTCATCATCGGCGTCATCGGGAAGTAGCTGGGGAACGGAGCGATGACGCGCGCGATATTTATCAATAGGTTTTGCTCGCGTGCGTGCATGCGAGTGCTGGAGGACATCGTTCGGGAATGCAATTTTAATTGGTATTGCCTCGTTGGACGATTAAGCAGACTCGTGCCATTTATTTCCCCGGTGTGATCGATGCAGGCGCGCGAACCAAACACGATGTCGGCGTAATGGAAAATTTCCATTACATATGATCCTTGTCTCTCTTTCTCTTTCGATATCACGAAAATCAAGTATATTTTAGATAAACGATAAACTAACGCAACCCACAAAGTCAAGTGCCTGACTAAATAATTAAATAGCTCCTCGAACCTTAACCTTGAAGATAGAACGACGATTTAATGGCTGTCCTTTCTCTCGTTTTCGTTTTATTATCTGCTTTAGTGCTTCTTCTCGCCGCCATCGATAATTATAGAGCGCGTAGGTAATGATTAGGAAGCGCGGCAAGGCAATCAGTTAATTGATCGACTAATTAATTTGGAGCGAAGAAAAATCTTGGCGCGATACGGTAGATACTTTTCTCCGTCTTTGTCGCTTTCCGAAGGTTAGATTATGCAGGTACAACTTTGAATATAAATAATAATTGCGTGGGGCTCTTTACTCAGTAGACATCAGGCTAAAGAACCGAGCGATTAATTCGATGAGCTTTATACGCGTGCAAGACGCGAGCAAAGTTCACCCCCTGCACGTCCTCCGGCCAGACCAGGCGGCTTATTTAGCAGGGGGGGGGGGGGGGGAGAAAGGAGAGGTAATTTATTCCGGCTTTACTTAATCTCTTCCCTCGCGTGTCTCGACGGTCGCGAGAGTCTCGAGCTCCTCTAATCCAAATTCCAGATCGAGAAAGGGAACGTCGCGCGCGCGCGCGCGCGCGCGAATGAACAACCGAGAAAGAAAGAAAGAAAGAGAGAGAGAGAGAGAGAGAGAAGAGCGAGAGATCTAGAAACGCGCGCGTCTGTCGAGATCCCCCGACGATGAATCAGATTATCGTCCAGAGTAAATCGTTGGCAGCTCCATAATCATTTACCGCGCACATTTTTAGCTACGACACACCAAACATTTCATCGAGAATAATGGTGTTTCAGAATACTTAATCCCCTCCCGGTAGGTAGATCTTTCGACCGAATTGGCGCCGTCGTAGAATAAAACTCTAATGTGAGCAGCGAATTTGAGAAGCTCTCCATGCTTCTCTCCCCCTCGGCACGAAAATAAAACGTGACTTTTAGCGCATCGGCTTTTTGGTGAATTACAAACCGGTAGTCATCGGGGCTGGATGGACTAAAAGTATCGCGAGAAAGAAAGAGAGAGAGAGAGAGAGAGAGAGAGAGAGAGAGATAGATTGTCTCGCGACTAAAGTTGTCAAATCTAAACGCGACTCAACAATTTTGTTATATCTTGCAATATGAATTTTTACTTAGAGTCAAGATCGCTCATTTATAGAATTTGAGTTCATAGAACTTTGCTTCGAACCTTATGAAGGGTTGGAAAACGGGATGAATACGAGATCGTCCTCTTTAGCCGGTTTCTTATGTGGCGATATATCTTATGAACGACCGTGTCGCACGATCGAATTAACGATAATAACCGTTAAAAGCCAGTTACACGGTTCATTCTTGGTGCACAAAACACACCGTCATATCGCTCGATAATCGCAACAAAGAGAAACGCGGTACAGAATGCTATTCAAATAAGAACTTACCGTTCGCGGAAATGACGAACATCTTCTTTCGACGCTGTCCATCATCCCGTTGTAAGACGCTCGAAGCGAGGGATCTCGAGCCCGTAGATACGTGGCACGTAATAATTCCATCTTCTCACCTTGCACGTGCATCGACTTTGTAATAACCGCGAGTGTAAGTCCTGAAAATAAAACATCCGCGTTTAAAGCTCTTCTCTCGATAACTCGATAGATTATTACTACAGATATATACTTGAGCATTATATCGTCAAATTATGAGAAGTATAAAAGAGACGAATGACGCGCGCGTTGTCTTTCTTTGTGAATAATATATTCGGCATTGAATTTTTGATATCCGAAGGTTGGGGAATATGAAAACGATAAACGGAACATTTTACATGCCGCGTGCGTTCGTCCTACGTCAACGCGTATAAATATTGCGTTTTAATGCGTCGATATATATCCCCGACTTTTGACGCGCGTCGTGGCATTACGAGATTTGCGACGGCCACTGTACTGGCGGTTGCCGCGAAATTTATTAATAACCGTCAGACACACGCGCATGTATTTATATATTTACGAAAGCGCGCGGGCACACACGACACGCCGCCTTTGAGAGAGAAGATGGATTCTAAGAAGAAAAACCTTGCCCACGCGCGCATTTCACGCCGATTAAAGAACGCATCGGACGCGCGCACATTACCAAGTTTTTGCAATAAAATATCGCGGATATGGTAAACGTTAGGGTCGCGTGTACAATGAACGTAAATCATGCCTGACACACGTATCAAACGCGAGGACACATGCCAAGTATACCGCGAAAACTGTCTATTAAGGAGAATGAAGCGCATGTTCGAGCCCCGTCGTCTACGCGGAATCACGATTCCGGATGATAAATTGCGCACGCGAGTCCATTAAAACTCTGTCCTCTTTAATCAGCAAAAGAGTTAGTCGAAGAATCTAACACAGATTACACCGCGCACTGAAAATTTTTAAATAAATATTTATCACCTGACACAGCTTGAGATACACAGTTGGAAAATTTGACTTCAATTTAATATATGTATATCGCATGCCCCAAAACATGATCCACATACATTTTTTATTTAATATAAGAATTTTTAACAATATAGATATGCTAAATGGTAACACTATGTAATATTATGTTAATATTTTAACGCGAAATAAATGCAATAAATTCATTGTAGTTCAAAATAAATTTTGTATAAAATCAGCATATTTTTGATGATAAAATTAACTTAGAAAAAAATTATTGACGATCTGTAGTCATTCTTATTCCTATTATAGAATAAAATAAACATTTTTTTCTGTAAATTTTAACAACTGAATCCTGTCACTAATAAAATTAAAAATATGTGCACTTGTGTTACTTTTACATTTTTTTTATTTCAATAATTTAACATTTGAATTTTTTAACAAAAGGAAACAAACTTTTCAACTGCGTATAAAAAGTTAGATTTTAAGGCGGCGGGCCAAAATTTTCTGCAAACGATAGCGCTGGCAACGGGATTAGCGTCGAGATATCTGTCGAAGCGGCTGATACCGATATTATTCCCATCGCGTTCGTTCCGGTCAAACTTTGACTGGCCGCGAAATCGAATCGTCGGAGTAAGTGGCGCGTAAATTCGTCACGTTCGCTCGCGGTTAACCGGCCGCTAATCTTTTTAAAGCCGTAGAACCGCGATCGTCCCGCGTTTGCGCACACACATTTCCGTCTTCGGTAATTCCATTTAACGTTTCACACTCTCCGACCCACACGCTCGCGCTTTTCTAATTGCGTTCGACGTGTTCGGTAACGCACGGCGGGCATATATCATCTCGGATGGCCATTCGTTTAAATTGGTCAATCTCTCGCAATCTCATCGAGAATATCTCAATTGACTGACATATATTGATTGCGCAATCGACGATCGCTGAGAAACGTTTCGAATAAATTTGACGAGACTCTCATTACACGCTTGTTCGCGTGCATATTTTTTGCTAGAATTATATTTAATTACGAATTATTGTAATACGGAATAGTGAACAATGTATTTATCTAAAACCGTGATACAAAACAAAAAGATTTCTATATAAATCGTGACCGCGCAATGACGATGTAGATATAAACAGGAAGGTGTACATTTTTATTTTGCGATAATAAGCAACTGACGAGAAGCGCGATAATAAAACAACTTTGATATACACGCGCTGCAGTATGTATCGCGCGAGATAAAATTTTGCCTCGTCATAATTACATGCAAGTCAATATTTATGGGAGCCAAATGATTTACAGAAATAGTATAGATGAGACTGATTGTGTCATATATAACGTGCTGGACACGAGCACATTAATGATTTATCGGCTGGAATCTAAATTCGCTAATTGCCATACGTGCTCGCCGCACATAATGTTTCGTGCAAGGCAAAACGAGAATGACGACTTTATTCGCGGTTTATTACATAATGTATCGCAAAAAAGAACATACCGACACATGAAATTAATGAATCTCACCCTCTCCGGAATCCACAATTGCGCCGATTACATTTTATACTCGAAGAATCACGCCGTTTTAATGGACGCTATAAAGAGAAAGAGAGAGAGAGATAGAGAGAGAGAGATAGAGAGAGAGACGGAGTTTAGGAAACTTTACTATAAATACACACGAATCTAACCGGATGCTTATTAATACATGTATTAATTAAATTAATTATTTTTTTCGAACGCCAGAGGATAAATAAGGACTAAATTACTTTGCTTCACGAGAATGAGAGATCGCATAATGATAGAAAAATAATTATCGTTCCGCGCGCACGAAATCGCGAGCGGAGTGTCGAGAATCACGTCGTTTCCGGTCGTCGACAAGTAGTCGTTCGGTGGTCGCGCATTCGGACGCCGCTCTTCTCCTTCTTTCGTCGATAGAGAGAACGAGAGTAGGAGACGAAAGGAGCGTACAAGGGCGCCGTCGTAACGAGACGAGAATTATACACGGGGCGAAGAAGCCGTTACGACGTAACAGGTTATTTGTTCAACGCGGTTATAACATCGGAGCGCGCTCGGTGGTTGAGCGAACGTATCAACGGACGAATGGAAAGGAGAGAGAGAGCGATACTTCTTTTTTTTTTTCCTCTCTCTTCCTTCTTTCATCGACAGGTGGATTCTGTCGAGCTGCAACGCACCGGCTGCGTGCGAGACGCGTACGAGACGCGTGCCGCGCGGTGACGATTTGACGCGATGGCCCGCCGCCTTCGTTCTTTCCTTCCTCCTCCCGTGTTCTCGCCTTAATACCTCCTTTCCTCGTGATTACACGTAGACTGAATATACCAAACCCCACCGCAAACACGCCGAACGACCGCGAAACGTGTCGCACGCGCGACCGCAATCGTAATCCCGGCGGAATCGGATTACGCGCGATGGAAGAAAATTTTTACGAGAGATTAGAGCTCGTATCTTGCCTCCGGTATTTCGCGATATAATCAATTTTATAATATGCATCTACAATTTATACGTCGTTAAGTCGCACGTTCGGGAAAGGGATAATTGAGGTTCGAAAGGAGAATCTCTCCTCGTCGCGTTTGCTTAACGAACGCACGTCGTAAAATCTATTGTGGCCGCGCTATTTAAAGAACATTCACTCGCGGATGCGCGATAAATCGTGGAACCTTTGCCAGCATGACGGGTGGAAGGCAGGCAAAGCTTATGCACCTACTCACCGGGGGCTGATAATGCGAGTCCCTAATAGGTTGACCACATAATAATACCAGCCGCTCGCGGCTGCAGAGCGTCGCGATTAAGAGAGCGGACGACTCTCCGGTCCCACGTCCCGTTTTCTTTAAGCCTTAAGTGGCAGCGTGAAAAAGAGCTAGGTAGCATTTAGGATTAAGTGTAAGCATAAAAAGATTGAGTAGCTGAAAGCTAAGATAGAAAGATAGACGAACAAAAATATGTCCAAAATGAATCGCTTAAGTGATGTAATATATATATTTGATATAAATTTATATAATTATATTAATTTTTATATAACTGATTTATGGAAATATCTATCAATTAATATGCAAATGTTTAAAAAAAATAAACTTTTTAAAAATAATACTTATAGATATATAGGCACGACAAAGTATTATGTCGCGAAAGTTTTATTACAGCAACGACCGCGAGAATCTCGAAGAAAAGAAAGAGACTCATCAATCTCTAGACCTCATTGCGCTTGTTCCGCCAATTACGTTACAGCAATGCGACGTTTATGGTCGGTAAACAAAAGGGTCCGACGTCTTCCCAGAAACGCATCGAGAAGGGAGCAGGACGGCAGGGAATTTGAAATAACAATAAGAAGAAGGCATGTGTGAGTTCAGCGTGGTTTTCCTGGCGTTCCGTATTTTTCGTTTTTTTATATTTTAGAATATTTATTTTTGAAACTTTATTACGCAAATGTATCTTTATATGAGCTACCGCCAAGTCCTAAGTCAGTAAAAATTGTAAGTTCATCTACATATATATTTGAAAAAAAAAAAAAAAAAAGAAATATAAAAAAAGTGCTCACGCGAGTATTTTTAGCTACGTTACGCATCGAGAGCGTTACGATTTTATAATTTCATACGAAACGAATCGCGTTAATCACGGAGCGATTAAAGTATTAATTTATGCGACGTAAGAGAGAGAAGGATTCGCGATTTGCCACGGTTAGAAACAATGTCGGGTAGAAACGTCTCCCTTCGTATACAATGTATCCTAAATACGATAAAGCGCGTAAGCCCGGCGTTCATTAATCATCATTACGGGGCGTAATGATCGTCGGTGGAAATCGTTGCTACGAAATAATGAGACCGTTCTGCTTCGGAGAACGTGCCTTCTATCCCTAATCTCGATCGGCCATCGAATAACGATGCACGAGACTACTAGATTTTTCTTCTTAAACGAGGATCTCCGTGTCCGCGGCTTAGTAGCGTGAGATTTTATCGGCGATGAATCCGGCTCGAGAGAGGAGGGTCTGGATCGTGTCACGAACGCGTTAACGTTCCTTTCCTTCTGTGGCATGTGCGAGAGACTATTATCCGCCAACGCAAACGATCGATGGTAAACGTTTCCGTCTCGTTTCGAAACTCTCGTTTTCTCGAAATCCCGATATCAATCATTTTTGAAATTTATCGTTATCGCTTAAAAGATATTTCATAATAATCCCAA